AAAAAAAAAAAAAAAAAAAAAAAGAACTAGTGGAAAAGATTGTTCACTGAAACTACAAGGAAGTTCAACTTTAAAGTGGACAACAAAGAACTGAATATACTGACATACTGATTCTTTGAAGAGAAATTTATAACTCATTGCATCCAACACCCATGAATTAGCCTGGCTACTAGAACTTAAGCTGAAGTGCATTCTAGCCTCTGTTTTTCCTTTTCTTTTCTTTTTTTTGAGACACAGTTTCATTCTTGTTAGCCAGGCTGGAGTGCAATGGCGCAGTATCGGCTCGCTGCAATCTCTACCTCCTGGGTTCAAGTGATTCTCCTGCCTCAGCTTCCCGAGTAGCTGGGATTACAGGCACCTGCTGCCACCACACCCATCTAGCCTCTGTTTTCTACAGTTTTTCCTTTTCCCTATCCCTGAACACTCAACTCTTTAGCCCTGACATGTCTTCACTGATGGAGAACTAGGCCTGAACCTCCCAAGGGTGCTGACCTTCGGGTTCCAGGCTTTGGTCTTGCTCTTTACCCTGGATTCCAAGTGCTGGAGTGATCATGGATTCTTAAGTCCAGGCTCTGTGTAGCTTGTTCTCCAGTATGCTTTCCTCCAAGCTGCCAGTTCTAGGCTTCCTTCCAGTTCTAGGCAATTCCAAATGTCTGCATTTTTCCAGCTACAGATGGGGAGCTCTAACTTTCTGACTTCTGGTCCCAGGCTCTTTAGGATTCAGGACTGGTTCCCAGGCAGGAAAGAAAAGGCAGGTGCCAGCGGGGTGGCTGGTGTTGCCTGAGGGCAAGCCAGGCCTGCTGATTTCCCACCAGGAAGGCCTTGGGGCTAGGTCCTCCTTCCTCTAGTGTGCTTTGCAGCTGAGCTGTCTGGGCTGCGGATGTTCCAGGCCCGAGAGGGGGCTCCAAACTCTCCAGGCTATTGAGGCAGCTGCTGGGCAATTCTGTGGTCTGGACCTCATGACAAGCACCTGGTAAGGCAGGAGTGGAAGGTAGGTGGCCGGTGGGGATATACTGAAGCCAGATCAGTGGTGAGAATGGGGTATGGAGCACACAAAGCAGTGAGCGAAGGGAGTGACTTACAGCAACAGGGGGGCCTCCTGTGGACATGAGACTTGGGCAGGGGCTGCTGCAACAGACATAGCAGGGCCCCATCCAGCTGCTGGAAGATGCTGAGCATGAGCAGGGTCTGGCGGAGATCAGGGGACAGGCTCCACTGCTCCTCTTCCAGCAGCTCCCTGACCACTCCAAAGTCTTGTCTGAGCTGCAGTGCTCCCTGCAGGCTAAAGGCAGAGGCGCAGTATGGCCACCTGACCCTCCAGCCCCTCCTAACTGCTCTGCCTCACCCACTTATTTATCCACTTCCTTTTCCCAGTTTCATTTACCCCCTGCTACTTCCACCTTTACTCCTGACCTGAACCGAATCCCATGGGTAAGGATGTGGTTGAGCCAGGCACCCACGATGGCTGTCAGTGCCTGACCAAGAGCAGGGGCCTGGGCTTGGGGTGGCAATCCTTGCAGTCCTTGCAATACAGGCTCCAGTACGGTGCGGACCACTAAACCAGCATACTCACTGGGAACACTGGGAAGTTCTGGAGTAAAGAGAAGACAGGATATGAGGCTATGGAGATCCACTGACCCCCTAAATGGAGTGTTTGGGAGAAGAGGATAGGATTTTGGGAGGAAAGGGCACAGAAGCTGAAGACAAGGATGGAGACAGCAGAGTGGAACAGGGATTTGGAGGGGCTGAGACACTATTACCCCCTTGGAACCCTGGAAGGAGAAGCTAGGATGAGGAGTTACCGGGACAGAGACGAAGCCGCCAGTACCGACCCCGTGGCATGTGGAGCTTGAAAGCCTGCATGGCTTGTTTATGACATTCTTGAGAAAAGAGACTTAGTGACTCTTCAGGCAGGAGCTATAGGAATAGGGAGAAAGTAAAAGAGGCTTGTCAAATTATGATGATCCTCTAAATCTAAGGATTTCTATGTTCAACTTGGCAGCCATAAAACCCCAGAATTGTTGCATAGTTGTGTGGGCCTGGCCATTTTTTGAGAGATGCCATAGTTGTCATTGGGTTTTCCAAGAGGCCTGGACCCAAATTATGAACAAGTGCCCTATGAACAAGAGCAGGATTACCCTGCTCTTCCCGGCTTGTTTCAAAAGATGGAAAATCCTCAAGGTTAATTTTATCATCCAGAAGCTTTAAGGAAAAAAAGAGACATATCCTGCTCCCGCACCCCCCACAGAGCACATGCCAGAGAGGGGGATTGTATGATCTGTGATGGCAGAGGCTGAAGGAACAAAGGGGAATTACAGTGACCTTTTTTGGTGGGGATAGACTCTTGCTGTCACCCAGGCTGGAGTGCAGTGGTATGATCTTGGCTCACTGCAACCTCCATCTTCTGAGTTCAAGTGGTTCTCCTGCCTCAGGCTCCAGAGTTGGTGGGACTACAGAAGTACACCACCATGCCTGGCTAATTTTTGTATTTTTAGTAGAGAGAAGGTTTTGCCATGTTGGCCAGGCCGCTCTCAAACTCCTGATCTCAGGTGATCCACCTGCCTCTGCCTCCCAAAATGCTGGCACTACAGACGTGAGCCACTATATCCATAGTGGCTCAGCCTACAATGATCTTTGGTTATCACCTACAAAAGGAAGATAGGAACTGTATGTAGACCAGAAACAATGACTATTTTAACATTCTGAGACTGAGGAAGCTTTGGAATGTCCTTACATTGAAGGGCATTATTATTATATATTATTATATAATATTACATATTATTATGTATTATTAACAGCCCACTCCAGAGCAATATAACCCATAAAGCAAGAAAAGGCCTATATGCTAGTGTTGTTTCTTTGGTTTGATAGGTGGTTTTGGAGGAGAGAATGCAGCAATAAAACTGATTTCTGCTCTACAGCCCATCTTGAGGGAGGGGAACTCCAATAAATATGGTTAATGGCAGCAGCTCTGTAAAGAAATGGTAGATGCCAGGGAGCCTGAAGACAGGATAGACCTCCAGACATGGAGTGGAGCCCATGTGGCTCCTGGTACATCTGACAACCTGTCTAAATCCAAAATCTTCCTTTCTTTTCCAGCAAACCCTAGCCCTCTTCTCCTTCGTTATTTATGTCAAGGAAATTACCCCTTTGTCAATGGACTTTTGTTGGGAGCCTCTGTACTCAACACAGAGGGAATACAAGGTGGATAGTATGTGACAGTCTCTCCCCCATCCACCAGGATCTTACAGTCCAAATAGGAGGAAAACT